ACCAGGATGTTTTTCTAATTGTGGAGTAAATTATGCTTCCCTTCCACCCTCTTAAAGCTGAGGGAAACCAGACACAGACATTAGTCACAACCATCTGAAGCATCTCTATTGTGCATAGTACTTAGTCTTCTCCGTTTCGTCAGCCTTTAATAAAGTTATTGCAGAGAGCCATAGAATGTCAGTCCTTTTCATTTTTCTTGTAGCTCTTCTTGTGAGACTGTATAAAGCAGAGGGTAAGTGACAGGCCTTGATATTAGGATGTTCTGTTGCTACAGAGTTAGTCTCTTGATTTGTCACATTTCTTGCTTTTTAAAGTAACTTGTTTCAATGTGAAATGATTTCTTCTCTTAATACCGTGTAAATTACTCTTAATTGGCTTAAAATAATTAGCTAGAGTGTATGGATTTAAATAATTTTTATTTTTTTGTAAACATGTCAATCATATTGAAGTTACTGAAATGCCACTGTTCTGATTGGCATGCGTACTAAGAGTTTTGTCTGCTCTTACTCCTTACCTTTAAAATAATTCCTTTTTTTTATTTCCTATTTGAATTCTTAGAAGAAATACACCAACTTTAAATCTTACAGTATCAATGAGTTTACAACCATTGCATTTCTTTTTCTTTATATAAATATAGAGAGGAAGACAGAGAGAACAAAAGAAAAGGTGCATTTGGAACATGAGCTCAATTCCAAAATGCAGTTTCCATTTTACCGCTTTGATCAAGCCCTGTAGATCTCATTGTTCTTGATTTTTCTCTTTTTAAAGGATGAGTATTTTAAAAATGTGCCTCAGCAATGAAGTAATAATATAATTAGCTTAGCCTATTCAATGGTGTGGCTGCATGGCTCTGGATATACTTTTCTCTCTTAAATGGGAGAAGTGCTTACAATTTAGCCACCGAATTGCAGAGCAGGTGAGGGTTGGTCGAAGATCACTTAACAAAATTTATTCTAATTTCATGTTTAATCTTTAAAAGGCAATGGTAGACTAAATATTTGGGCTTTTTGATTGATAAGCATAAGGAAAATGCCTCACAAACAAAGCCCTTCTCACACTAATGGAGGAGATACTACCAAAATACACTGTAAGTACAGAGTAAATTAATCTTATCAACCTTCTGAGGTTAAATTTAAAACATTTCTTTTGTAGCCTGTTTTGAGTATGTTGTGATTAATCTCACTACCTTTGTTATAAGGAATAGTATTTGGTTTTTTTATTCTAACATCACTCAAATGTAGATTGCTTCTTGTTAGCAGTTTCTTTCATTCTTTTCTACTTTTTGGGTGTGTGTTTAAAACTACAAAAATAAGAAGTTGTTTCTAGGGTGTGAGGTTTTTCTGGACCACTAATGCCAAACCCCTGTGTTGTCTGATGCCAACCATGCTTTTTAAAACCAATAGACTTCTTGGTGGTGATGGCGACAAGTATGTTTATGCCTAAAGTTTTCTACTGCTGGCCTTCATGCCTATATACAGGTCTTCTGATTCTGTGCTGGAAGTTTATCCTTGGTGCCCCTTAATTTTCTTCCTGCACTTGGCTTGTATCGTATCTACAGTTACTAACTTCTGTCCCTGTTTAGGAGTGAGCACCTTTGCATGGGAGCAGTTAAAATATTTTCATTATTCTAAACAAAAATTGTGTTTGAAATTTTCAAAGGAGCATAAAAGTTGATCTTGTATCACAGTGATTAATTAGATTCTACCATGAATTGTTGGGGTTTAGGGTGCAAATATGTAGACACAAGGATGCAAGTATGCCCTAAGGGCATCGATCTGCCTAGACTTTCAATAGATCTTGGTTCTCAACCTAACTGGCAAATTGCTACTGAAAGAGTCAAAGAAGATTTAAAGCAGCAAACATTCTAATTGTCTTTAAAACCGAGGAAGGTGCAATTCTGACGGGAGGCAGTCATGTAAACCCATGTGTGTAACTTGCAGTGTCCATCTGTGGATTGTCTTTGTCTTGACTGAAAATGTGTCAACTCTGAGTGTGTGTTAATGTTAAAATTCCTTGTCTCGAGAAAGGATCTCAAAGTCGTTTACAGACACTGTGGAACTATGTTTTCTAAGTTAATGTGCCCTTTTGCTCTGGCATTAAGTCAGCACGGTGGAACTGCTAACATGAAGGCACATCGTAGTGAAAAGCCGGTAAAAGCTGTGTGTGTCCTGGGCTAGGCAGGAAAAGTATGTGCCGGAATAGCCACCACTCTTCTCCCCGGTGTTACAGACTGTTAACAAATACAGGAAATGTACTTTGCTAAAAGCAGCGTGGTGTGGAGACCTACCATATTGTCATGGTATATTTTGCTTCATTTCTTGTCTCTCAAAGCATTTAACTCAATTTTGGGCTGATTTTAGATTGTAGTTTTGAAATCTGTTTTTTAGTATATTTCACGTAGAAGATGCTTGACAAATCTGTATTGTGTTTGTGTTGACTTGTGCAGTGGATCAATGTTAAATGCTTTATGAAGCAAAAACTAATTCTGTATTTTAACTGCTTTCTTTTCTTGTACAATCTTACTGCTTCTTCCATGATACAGTAGAACTTCAGTCACAAATTTTAGTCCCTTGTAGATGCTTATGAAAATGTAATAGGCAACTAATAACAACCTGTCATGAAGTTACATGTTACATGAAGTTACATGTTTTTTCATGAAGTATTTTTTTTGTTGTTCTTGTAACACATTAAAAGACATAAACTTCATATGGAAAAAAATGCCAATTCCTAGAATTTCATAAAGGCATTGTGATTTGAAGTTCTACTACATAGTATATGTTTCATCTGCACTGGGAAGATAAAGTTTCAAGCTGACAAGTTCTTGCTCATAACTCTTTTTTTGACAATTTAGCAGGGATCATTTCAGGTTTTTGGCAAGTCTGTTTTGGTTTTTGGTTTTTGTTTGGTTTTTTTTTAAAATCTTGTTTTGAGGACACGTCTGTCACTTTGAAATACGGTCTTTGAGAGAGAACTCCATTCATGGGAAATATGCACTTAAGGCAGAGGACTTAAAGCCGGGATTCCAGTGATCTGCTGTTGGCTCTCCAAAATATTTGACATGTGGTATTAGTGAATGATGTGTATTTTGGCTTTCCAAAGGTGCCAAATGTATCAGGCTTTCAATGAGTTTGGGGGATTTCTTAAAATTTGGGCTACTGACTTTCTGTACTTCATTAGTATATGAAGTTGGTGTATTATACATTAGCTGTTGTGGCCTGCCCGTGTGAAATATATAAATCAACATTATCTTTCAAACAGTCATTTCCATGCTAGATATTTACACAAGATGAATTTTCTTTAGTATATACTGACTGGTCACTCTGTGGTCAAGCTCTGCTTTAGCATGTGGGCTTTTTACAAACAGTTACTATTTCTTGTGTGACTGGTGATTATTTCTTTTTAGTCAACTGGTGACATAACTTTCAACCTGTACATACAGTTTTTGTTATTTGGAAATGCTAGTTCTTTTTAAATGAGCTTTTATATAAAAGTATTTTAGAAGGTGAACTTGTGCTAATGAAAGATGACGTCTGTGCTAGTGAAAGATGTGGTGGAGACTAAAGTTTCTGAAATACACTGATAATTTTGTAAAACAGAACAGACATGAGTGCTGTCATGTAATATGAAGAGTAAAATAAATGAGTAGGTCTCTAGGTAAAGAGATAGGAGTTCTGCAGGAGTTCTGCAGTTCTGTAGCAAGATCTCTTGCATCAGCACTGGTTTCAAGTATTCTGCAACTAAATTTAAAGAAAGTATTTGTATAAAAATGCTGTCTCTTTTTTGAATTTGTACAGAGTTGCAATTCAGAAAATCAGTATTTTAAATATATTTATAAATAAAGACAACAGAGTAAGGAAGGCAATTTCAACATCAAATTTATAATGCAGTGCTGTATAGCTTTTACTTAAAGAAAGCTTACACAATATGTAATATTTCTTTTTTGAGCCTGTCTTGGGTAAATGTTATGTAGCTTGCACATAACATCACACCTTAAGATAATACAACTATATGACATAACAGCAATGATTTAACACAAAATATGCTTTTGATAAAATGATTTTATTCTGTAACTAAACTTCAAATACTGAAATGGCTGTCCTGTATTTTGTGTTGAGGTGGCAGAATTCAGTTTTTCAGCTCAGCAAAAAGCCAACCCAGTTCTTCACCAGTTCAAAGACAAATGGTATTAATATAAAATAAAATATTATCAACTGCTTTTATGTGCAATAAAAAAACCACAACTGATCTAGAGATGAGAAAAAGATAAAGCTGGAAGACCATTCAAAATAATCCATTTTTTTATAAGAAAGTTCAGGTCTGCTAAAATTATTAGTATGAATGATGCCTCTGAGGGTCTTGAATCTTTGTAAAAGGTGTTTAGGCAGCAGAAGTGGAAGAAGCACAAACAAAGAAACTTGAGTTGCAGAAGCTACACCAAAAGACAGCTAGAGTCAAGAACAGAACACTGATCCCCCAGTCCTTGTCTGGCCACACAGGGCACCTTAATGTGTTTGTGCTGTTTCCCTTCTGAAAAGGAGCTCAAAATTTTACATTACTTTCACTGACAGTTACAAGATCTACTTCTTTTTTATCTCCCTATTTTAAGGTGTCAAGAGGCAGCTAAAATGGATTTTTTTCCCCTAAAGTTTATACTTTGAAATCCAATGTCATTGGAAATTAAAAACTATTGTAGTAGTGAGACCAACTTCAGTTTTGTTTTTTTTCTCTTTTTGAGGTGGTTGCTTCTTACTTTTTTCCTTGCTTTCCCTTGAACTATCTACTGATCATCTCTTTTCAATAAACTGGCAGGGAATGTTGTAGTAAGCAGTAGTGGGGTTCCCAGATGAATATAGCTATCTGTCTGTCTCACAGAAAGGCAATGAGGCTATGCAGGGGAAAAAAAAAAGAGAGCATGTATTTTAACAATTTTATCAAATAATATATTATGGTGTTACTACATCCAAGGTGGAATACTGTCAAATTCTATATTTATATACAGGAACTTGACAAGAGGAGTTGGTAGATTTAGAGAGTTACTAAGAGCTGTTGAAACAAGAACTACACAAAACCTGCGAATGGTAAGTTACAGTAAACCATATTCCTATTGCAGCATCTGAATTTTGGTAGGCAGGTAAAGCATAATAAATATAGTGGGTGAGTTAGAGATGAATAGGCAGATACATACGATATTGATAAGGACCTGTTATCCACCAGTTTGTAAGGTTACAGTTCCTGGCTTAAGTGAATGCAGCCCCAGTCAGCACGCAAACTATAACTGTCTGTACTGGGTTGACCTTCTCTGGCTGCCAGATGCCCACCCAGCTACCCTTGGACTCTCCTTCCTTAACATGACGGGGAAGAAATAAGCTTCTAGGTTGAGGCAGAGCTGTTTGCTTACTAATTACTGTCACAGGCAAAACAGACTCTTCTTGGGGGACATTAACTTCATTTAATTGTCAATTAAGAGAGAATGGGATGGTAAGAAACAAAGACAAAAACTAAAACACCTTCCTCCCACCCCGTTTTCCCAGATTCAACTTCAATCCTTGACTCCTGACTCTTCTACCTCCTCTCCCTGCCCTCCCATTCCTTGAGTGGTGCATGGGGGGTGGAGGGTTGTGGTGAGTTCCTCGCTGCTGCTCCTTAGTCCTCACACTTTTCCCATGCTCCAGCATGGGGTCCCTCCATTGGGCTGCAGTTCCTTCAAGGAATATCACTCTGCTCCACCATGGTCCTCTTAGCAGGCTGCAGTGTGGACCATCTGCTCCACTGTGGTCTCTCCCCCGCAAACAACTGCTCCAGGCCTGGTGAGGCAGTAGAGGTTATTGAGAACAAAATGTCTGAAAATATACCTGCATGTGCTCTGCTCATAGGAGCAGCAGTTGGTGTTGTTGATACTTCAGAAGTATCTGGATTTAACTGATATAATTGAAAAGTTGTTTGTTTTTGCCATTATTTTCTTTGTGTTTAGAGAATTGAACTGGGAACTTTCACTTCTTAAATAGCAGTATACCTGTTTTTTGGATGTTGTAAAATAACAGAAAATATATTCTACATAACTAGTCTTCACTAGAAAGAAATCTGAGCATTTTTAAAGAGTTTGTATTCAGCATTTCTAAAGAAAATATTTATCCTTCGCTTTTACAGACGATAGCGAGACAACTCGCGGAAATTTTGTTACGAGGTATGTGTGAACAGAGTTACTGGAATCCACTGGAAGATCCTCCTCACCAATCACCCCTAGATGATCCACTTCGAAAAGGTTCAAATACTAAGAATTATGCACTCAGTAGAAGACCACGTGTATACACTGGAGAAAAGTATGGCTGAGTTTATACCTCTTTTGTTTCTATAACTTCAGTTGTAACTCAGTGCACCGGTTAATTTGGTTTATCTTTTTCAATACGTAGAAGGAATTTAGCAATATGAATGGGAATGTTTCCCATGCTGTCTGTGTATATATGTATATACATATATATTCTCTGAAGAGAACTAGGGAAGGAAAATGTTTCTCTAAGCAGAAGTTTGTGCTGTATACATGAGACTGTTTGTTCTCAGTTGTAAAAATTTTTATTCTTCTGTCATGATGTATATGGTAAAGTCATTATTTTTATTATACCTGGGCTATAAAAGAAAACATTAATTGGATGGCAAATCGGAGACCGCACAATTTAAAAGTTGTGTGATGCTTGTAGACCCCTATTCTAGGAAAGATTTAGAAATTAGAAGTCAAGTTGGTCTGTGAAGCATTTTGAAAAAAAACAAAACATATCTAGAAATTTATCTAGCAGTCTCAAAAGTAGTTTATTTCCCAAGGCAGCTACCTTTTAATCATCTTAGATTAGTTTTGGCACTTCTTTGTGATGCCGCCTTTTTGTTGAGTTTTAATCTTTCAATGATTCAGATAAGTGATGCTTTATTTATGGATCATTTTTGTGTGATATATCTGATGTTGTATTCTAGAGTAGCTTTGTGTATTTCTTCCTTCTTGAAAATGTAACCTTTTTTTTCAAAACCTATCACCATTAGGGTTAGTATTAAATGTAGATAGCCATTTCCTTGAATTTTAAATTTTTCTTAGAAGTTAATGACTCTGATCCCCAGACACCCCTTCCAACCTCAACTCCTCTGAGATTTTGTGAAATCATTGTGATGTAGGGATGTCTTTTGAGGACACTATTCTCTGTTCCATAGGACATTTTTGACAGTTTTTCTTCAAAGAATTTATTATTGTTTCTGGTTTTATTTATATTGTTGTCCAACTGGATTAAAAGCCAGGCATTGTGTATTTTATAATTTCAATTTTGTCTGACTACGTCTAGGATGTGAAGTCATTAAAAGCAGTCTATTGAGCTTTAGGAAAAGATGCAGGCATGGAGTCGAACAATCAATCTGCTGAAACAACTACTGTGTTTCCCTGCGAGTACATATTTAACAAACTGCACGTACAGACAACCTTTTTGGTAAAAAGGAAATACCTATTTTTATGAATACACCTTGATCACTGCACACAGAAAGCATACATTTATTGACCAAACAGGAGGAAATCTCTTTTATGCAGGATCATGTATTCTCTTTTTCAAACGACTTGGTATCATGCAGCAAATCCTAAAGAACACTCTGTTCCTCTCTTACAATATTTATGTCTTGTTAGTTAATATGAAAGTTTTTTTCCATAAAGTGACCTTGTTATGTGCAAAAGAGTTTGCTTCTGTGGCAGATTGATTAGAGAAGTAGTCATACCTTAAATAATGGAGAGATGTTTTTAGTGTTCGCAGGATCTTTATATCGTAACAGAATTGCCTGCAGTATGACACTATTTTGAGTTGGTTAGCTGTATTTATTGCAGATTTCCATTAATGGATACTTAACACAGCAACAAACCCACATAATTATGTTGCTTTTACTACTATCAGTAGAATGGCCTTTATCTTCAAAGACTTCAGGCAATTCTCCTTTCTTGATCCAGAATACTTACAGCAGGTTTCTCAGGCTCAGTCTTTCAAACTTATGATCTCCATTCTCAACTCATCCTTTTCATCATGCCTCCTGGCAAAAGTGGGGCTTTGTTCAGTTTAATTTTCTCGTTCGGGACATGCAGGCAAGGAGTTCTGCAATTTCAACAGAGCATGTAATTAAGTCCTTTTCTTTTGTCACATCAGACTGACTAACACCATATCATATCAAACACGTCTAGCCAACTATGTCATCTCCAGTAGTGATTGAAAGTAAGTACTAAAGACAATGAATAGCAAGATAGATTATCTAGGAAGCTTCTTCCTAGGTATTCTTCTGACCATCGGCTCTGAGTCCACGATGCAATTTTTTTTCTAAATATGTTGCCTGATACATTAAATAACTGCCTTGTGTTCTATTGAGGATGGTGAACGTGATTTGACTAGTAGCACTTATGGTTTTGTAGATCTCCATGTTAACTGCCTCTTCAGTTTTGTTTAACCAGTTCTTCAACTGAGGATAAATTTCATTTGCCTTTGGTTGATAGGCATTTCATGCTTCTGATTCCTCTTTTGTTCTGCCCCGTTACATTGAAATTACTTTACTCATATGCCTGCATCTGTCAGGAGACACAAAAAGTGTCCAAGTTCACTCAACTAAACTTAGATAGGTCAAAGAAATTTCTCAGTAATTTCTTCATGGAGAGGAACTTCACTGTTTGAGACAAACAACAACTTATTTTCAAAAATATGTTTTAAACTTGTAGGTGAAAATAATGTTTGCTTTTATTTTGATAAGTCACTTTTTAGGACTTCTCTTGGGGGCAACTTCCCATTTTTTCTGATAAAGTAATTTCTCCAGCAGCTCTTTCCAATCATTATTCTGCTTTCTGGGAGCCATTTTCAGTCAGTCAGGTAGAATCTTCTTCCAGGTTGTTAAATTCTGCAGAGAAGACTGGATAGTTAAATGAGGAGCTCTCTGATGCCACCTCATCACTCCTCATTTCTTATCCTAGGTGGTTCTTATTCATGAGTAACTGTGTTTTGAAATGTCTTTGTTATGTAAAAATAAAAACGTCTTCTGAGATTTAGAATATTCTTCAAAATCTGGCAAGCAATTGCATTGATTAAAAAATAAAAATACAACAACAAAACAACTGCCCTGGTGTCTTAGATGTTGTATATTACCACAATACATTCACAATGTTGCTTTCAAACTGTCTGGAGTTCAGATGTCTTTTAGTTTCCGTTTCCTTTCAGGCATTTAATTACTGCTTATATTTCTAGTGCTTAAAAAAATAAAGAAATCAAAGGATGTTTAATGTTGGACAAGTTTTGTTTCCCTTCCATAATGTATTGTAGTTTAAACACCCTTGGGACTATAGGAATTGCTTATTAACAGCAACAGATTATTTTCTACATTTAAACAGTTAATTGTGGAACTAATGGTCTGGATTAACAGGAAATAGTACTTGTGCTAATTCAGAAATAGTTTAGAGGAAGAAATCTGAAGAGATGAAACACAGTCACTGATTTGGGTGAGTTTTTTTCTCTGTATGTGAGAAAGGATGGATGAATTCCTACCAGACATGTATCCAATGCAGATTACTGTTGTCTGTCCACCAGCTTAGAAAAGCATTCAGAAAGCATCCAGTGTTGAGAGAAAGCAGTGAAGTTTGCAAACTAGTCCTATGCAAACCTTCAGTATTAAGTCATAAGGAAGCGTACTTCATTAAAAACAAATAATTAAACTTCTTGGAAGTAACAGTGGTTATGCCAAGTGGGTGAAGATTGTCATGGCTCTATTGAAAAATATTCATAGCTGTCAAATGCATCAGGAAGAAAAATCTCAAGCATATCTGATGAAAGACCAATAGAAATATTTCTCCACATATTGTCTAAAATACAAAAGTTATCCTGTTCTTTTATGAGAGTTTTCTCTTGCTAACCTCTGAATCAGTGATGTAGATTCAGATCAGATAAATTAGGTACCAGAGGCTAATTAAAGAATGGGTTTACTTTTTACAGTTGTCAAATTATGTTCAATTTTGGGATATTTGAATGTGTTCAACTCTGACAGCTGTGGTAGTTTTATTCTTTTACTGTGTTTGGCTAACTTTTCTGAAATGCAAATTTAGAACGTTGCAAAGAAATGCATTTTAACCAATTGTTTTTTCTATGCAAGTTATTTTCTCTTTGCTTTTCTGGAAGTTTTCCAGTTTTTACAGTGCTTTTAATATATGTGTATGAGCTACTCCTGAAAGTAATGTGTTCTGATTAAATAATTAAATTCTTGTTTTGAACAGCATCTTCTGTCCTCAAGAAAATACAGAGGAAGCCTTACTGTTGCTGCTTATTAGTGAATCTATGGTAGGTAAAATAGAGAGACTGTGTGTGTTTTCCTTGGGATTTTTTTAAATGAAAATAGAACTCTTTTTTTTTTTTTGCCATGCCTTACTTTGCCTTGTCTTTCATTTTCTGTTAGGAAAGCAGGCAGTTACTTCTGAAACTCAGGCTTCTGTTCCTCTGAGCCAGCAAGATGAGGTCTGCAAGTGTTATGGAGTTTTTCTCCTTTGGAGTGGCTGTACTTAGCCTCCTTCTAAGCATGGGCAAGTGAACAAGCCAGGTCTTTCATTTGGCACTACTACACCAGCTGGTTGCTATTCAGACAGAATCAAAATCTAAGTTATTTTTGTTGTTAAAGGCAAATCAAAGACTACTAGATGGGCATAATAAACGTTGTCAAAAAGTACTTTCTATTGTGCATAAAACTTCGGTCACTTAAATTTGTAAATGATTTTTAATGATAATGACATTCAGTCTTTGCTACTGGATTTTTTTTTAAGAAGTCCTCATAAGTGATTCCTTCCAATGGCCTGCTTGTGGCCTTAATCAATCTTCCATAATTTCCTCTAGTATGATTTTGCTAGTCATCAATCAACTGCCACGTACTGGCATTCTCATACCATGTCAGTTTTTTATGTTCTCAGATAAAATTAAATGAAGGCTGAAGCTGAAGCTTTTGCTGTTTTTTTAACTGGAGGTGTGAAACCTCTGCAGTCTCAGGCATCATGCAGTCTGTCTCACTGCACATCAATGAGATGTAGTCTTTTAAGTTCTATAGGTGATTCAAATGCCTACGTGCTTTGGCATAATTTCTGATTTGCTACAGTTAAATAGATCAGAGCATTTTAGTGAACATTGTCCTAGTTGAACTATTTTGAAGTGGCACACATTTACACTGTGTGCTAACTACTTTCCTCATTCCTAGTGATGTGCCTTGCAATATTCATGACAGAATCTAGAAATTCTGTCTAGATTTTGATTCTCAGAGTACAGAAAAATAGACTGAGCAAACATTTCCACATATCATATGTTGATTTTACTGCAGTATATACTTAGCACTGAGAGGTGCCTCTGTAATGTGCCTGAGCAGCTTGTGGAGATGTACAGAATTCTGATGTGAACCACGGTCATGGTGTGAAGTTGAAGCAGTCCCGGCTCTGCAAGATCTGACTGCTTATTACTATGTTCGAATGTGTAGTTCCTTACATATCATCATTAAGAAGCCAAAAAACAAATTAAAAGTACTGCCTTGTTAAGTTTCATTTCAGATTACTTACAGCTTTCCCTTTTTGAATCAGATCTGCCTGATTATATCAAGTGCTGTCACTGTAGAGCATAACCCTTAGCAAGCTTTCAATTTTATTTTTTTTTTTAATTATTGCAGATTTTCTCAGGTAAAAAGTTTGTTTCAGGGGAGTATAAAATCTTTGACATGACTGACTTACTTTGGCTAAGTCATTTGTTCAGTTTTGGAGGGGGGAAAGGGGAAGATTGAGCATAAAAATATTCATCATTACAAACTTACCTTTCTGAGAGTTGAGACCTGTTACTTCAGCTTCCATGCATGCTAACTTTCTAGCTGTAGTAGTTGTGAAGTAGTATGTGATTTATGATTTTGAAACCACTACTTGGGAAAGAAATAAGAACACTTACAGAAGATTGAGTAATCGCTGGTGTTTTGAGATGCTCTTGTGTTATTAAACTAGTATGATCCCTTCCTTTCATTGTCTGTGAATTAGTGAAGAAAAAGCCCCATTCAAGACCAGGTTGGATGGGGCTCTGAGCAACCTGGTCTGGTGGAAAGTGTCCTTGCCCATGGCAGGATGATCTTTTAGGTCCTTTCCAACCCAAACCATTCTGTGATTCTGTGATCTGAAGGACTGATACCTTCATGTTACAGTGCATGTATGTATTGCGTGTCAGCTGAGTTGTGGTAACAGAATCACAGAATGATTAAGGTTGGAAGGGACTTCTGGAAGTCATTTTATTTGAACCCCTTGCTCAAACCAGCCCACCTGGAGCAGGCTGCATCTCTGTCCAGACATCTTTTGAATATCTCCAAGGAGAGAGACTCTACAACCTCCCTGGGCAGCCTGTGCCAGTGCTCATTCACCCTCACTGTAAAAAAACTGGTTCCTGATGTTCAAAGGGAACCTCCAGTGTTTCACTGCCTCCGGTCCTGTCATTGGGCACCACTGGAAAGAGCCTGCCTCCCTCTTCCTTGTATCCTTCCTTCAGATATTTCTACACATTGATAAGGTTCCCCTTCTGAGCATTGTCTTCTCCAGGCTGAAGAGTCATAGCTCTTTCAGCCTTTCCTCACAGAAGAGATGCTCCAGGTCACTTATTCATCCTAGTGGGCATTCGTTGGACTGTCTCCAGTAGCTCCATGTCTCTTGTACTGGGCAGTCCAGAGCTGGACCCAGTACTACAGGTGTGGCCTCACCAGTGCTAAACAGAGGGGAGGCTCTCCCTTGACCTGCTGACAACGCTCCTTAGCGCAGCCTGGGCTATCAATAGCCTTCTTTCCAGCTGGGGCACATTGCTGGCTCCAACTCAACTTGGTGTCCACCAAGGACCCCCAGATGCTTTCCTGTCATGCTGCTTTTGAGCTGGGGAGCCCCCAGCATATTCTGGTGCCTGGGGTTGTTCCTTCCCTGGTGCAGGACTTTGCACTTCCAAGTCTTTGTTGAAGCCTTCAATGAGGTTCCTGTCAGATTCCTCCAGCCTGTTGAGGTCCCTCTGGATGGCAGCACAGCCCTTTGGCGTATCAGTTCCTCCTCCTAGTTCTGTATTATCTGCAAATGTGCTTGAGGCTGCATCCAGATCAGGAACAGGATCAGGCCCAGCATAAGTCTCTGGGATACATCACTAGTTACTGGCCTCCAGCTAGACTTCGTGTCACTGATCACTACGATGTGTAATTCTTAACCAGTGGTAAAATGGCTGAGCATATCCTTTCTTCTGCTGTCGTTGAACTAAGTTGTAGTGCTCAGATGTGTTACAGGCTTAAAGTGTGTGTGGTAACTGTGGCCAAGTGACTCATTGCAGTTTAACTAATTGTCCCTTGATTGTGTCTGAGACCGTGGCAGTTCTGAAATACTGATGACTGAAGTTTGTATGTACATTCTATATTATAATTATGAAGAAAATGATTGTTCAAATATATAAGATATCTTTAATAATTACAAGACGTCCTCTCCTATAATACTGCTTTGGGATTGGCAGCCATTTTTTCACAAGAAGTGCTAGTTCATAGCTTGTTCTGTACTTGCAAGGAATTGAGTCAAATAGTGATTAAATGTGGAGTTAAAAAGAAGTTCTTGAAGCTCATTAAACATTATGCAGCGTAGAAAGGAAAAGCAAAAGACTTCTTGATCAAAAGAAAGCAAAATGTCTGGTTTGGGGTGTGTGTGTGTGGGGGGGGTGTTTTCAAACCAAACTGTGGATTGATTATTCAGTTGATAATTCCTGAAATGTCTGTGCATTTTACTCTCCATGTATCTCTTTAAATTTTTTTTCAGTATTTAATTATTCTGATTTTAATGATATATTGAGGATGTTCAGACCTTAAAATGTTATCCTGTTAAAGCAGAAAAAAATTTATTATCCCTTATTGTGTGTCATTCTTTGCATTTGGAAAAGGGGGAAATAAGATGCATAATGTATTTAACTAAATGTATTAAGGAGGCCATGCCCTGTGTAATTAAAAATAAAGAAAAGGGGCGATGAGGAGAGAGAAGGATCTTTAACTTCTGACTTCAAATTAGCAGATATACTAACATTTGTACCAATGGGAATATTAAACACCAAGAAAACTAGAAAAAGGTAAAATAACAAGATAAGGTATTTTCAGAGGCTTGATGGTATAGTGGGAGAAGTACTGGATTTTTCAGTATAGGTACTAGCTATTGGGAGACCTGACTTTTACTCTTTGCTCTTTAACAAGATTTCTCTGTGAACATGGTCAATTCGTTTAATCCATTTCTATCTCAGCTGTCTTCCTTCACAAAAGGAACAGTTTAATTAAGGAATCAGATTTACACTGTGCCTTTCACAAAACAGGATTGAAAGTACAAAGCCTTACTGCAAACATGGCCTGATTCCAAACCTGTTTTCAGAACCAGGGTCAGTTTTCATTCTCAGTAGTAAACCCTGAAGGTGATTGTGGGTTATCCTGGACAGGTTATCTTCCACAAGTGAGAGGCTAGTGTCATAATGTTGTGAAGAGAAAAGAAATTTATTGCCTTATTTTACAAAAACTGGAGTACAGGATTTGAAGATTCTTCTAATATGTTTTACTAGCATACAAGAATAAAAATAAATTTTAGAAGATGAATATACATTATTTTAAAACCCCCACCTTATTTTGTTTCTGAGAACTCTTCAATAATTTAAATACATTACTTAATTTATGTAATTAGAATGAAATAATTAAAAGTAGATTCAGGTAAAAACATCAGTCTTTCCACTAATGTATAAAATTGGTGATTCTTTCTATCTATAAATGAGTAGCAGATACTGTCTCTCTGTATCACTTATATCAACTGGTGGCTGTCAGTTTGAATAGAGTGGTAGTTACTTGAGTGAAAATATAACTTCAATTAGATTGGCTGACTTTGTTTCCTTATTTGTGGTGTGTTTAAGGCTAACCGTGATGCTGTACTAAGCAGAATACCTGAACACAAAAACGATCGTATCATCAGTTTGCAAAGTGCATCTGTCGTCTACGATTTACTTACTATAGCCTTGGGAAGAAGAGGCCAGTATGAAATGCTCTCAGAGGTTTGTCAGTAATATTCAACTGTGTTGTCATTGCTGTTTTCTGTTAATCATGTTAATTGTGGTAGTAATGAAGGGATAAACAAATACGGACACTGTAATTCTAACTACTCTGTTAATACAGGAGGTAGTTTCAACCCCACAATGCTTACTGTCTAAATTTACACAAGTGACTCGAGGTGGTCAAGCACAGAAGTTGTGTGGAGATGTGGTAAATGTTTAATGCTGTGGAAATTCACATGATTTTTAGGTGGGGATGCATGGATCTGCTTAAAAGGGTACACATTAAATGGAGACAGCAAGAATGAACAGCAAAAAATAAAAGCTGTTGTGGATATAAAAATGATAGATATAATTACCTAGAAAAAAGATTTGTGATGTTTTATTTCAGAAAAAACCTTTCTTTTACAACTCTTAGTATTTGGGGTGATCCATAGTCCTCATAGTTTATAAAATGGTTTTGAAGTTAATCAAAAGGAAATGTATTCTTTTTCAGGTATGTGGGAAATGTGTTCTCACTCTCGGATGTCTTATGTTTGATTATGTAACTCGCATGTGTTTTGTTAGATTGTGGCAGCTTACTTCTTCAGAGAATGGTCAAGTACTGTTAACAGTTTTATACCTGAGAAATAACTACAGCTTTTTGGACAGAACAGATCTTTCTGCTGCTCAAACAGTGCTCACCCAGCAGCAGGGTACTGTTGCTGACCACAGTTAATTATTGGTATACAGAAAGAATACTTCAGCGTATGTGCTAGGAAGGCATACCCAGGGATTAATTTGCTGGGACATGGTTTCTCTCTACCATAATAGAGGACTTCTATTGAGATAAAAATGAGAAGAAAGTGCTCCAGTTCTTTTCTGATCTATGTTGATAGTCAGCTATTAATCTGTGTCTCCTGTGATGTTAAACTCTCAATTTGAGTGTTCTTATTCTTGAAAACTCTTCATAGCTGCAAGTTGCAATACAAGTCAGTTTTAATTAGTACGATGGAAGTTTGTTTCACAAGACGAAGGAGTACTAAATCTCATACAGGACTGCAACCCTACAACATAATCTAATTAGGAATATTTCCATTTACTTGCCACAACAGACACTATCACCTTCCGGTGATTTTAGGTGGTAGCACCAAAGCTGCAAGAGTTGACACTTGATATATTTCAGTCTAGAACTTCTGAAAGGAGAGACATCAAAAAATATTGTAATAAAACCCAAACTTGATAACTCTGATTTCTTTTTTCGTCAAGCAACTAGCAGCCATTCCATTTTATATAGTAGCTTAGCAACTGGGCAAGGGTAGTGCAGCCCTGGGTTTCAATTCTGATTCTTTTATTTTGTCTGGTGTCAAGATGGCTTTATGTAGGGTTTTTTTGCTATGGATTTTTTGTGTTTAATTTTAGAATGTAAAACACCCATTGTATTTATGGGAACATCACAGGTTCCTGGGATTCCTCCACTGTCTCCTTTGGGAACATTTTGGGTAGTATTTATGTCACAATAGATGCCGCTTCTTGCTGACAGTTCTTTGTACCTTTCTTAAGAGAGAGGTTTTTGGCTTCATCAGGAGAGCTAGTGGTATCTCTGTTCTTAGCCATGTGTCTTGAAGTCCAGGACAATATCCTGAAGGGTAGGAAGAAAGTCTCATAGTCCCCTCACATGGAGAAAAAGCACAGAGCTTGCTTCCCTCACTGCTTGTGTGATTGGTTTAGCCCCTGTAGCTAACATATGAGTACTGCCTGTTCCTTTTCCTTCTGTGTTTTGAGCACAGTTGAATGTTCTGAATAGTGGACTTAGATCTTTGATTTCAGTGCCTTTTAGGAGTTGCTTGTGCTGGTGGTGATCTTGGTTACAGACAAAAGCAGATCCACAAGTACATGGAAAATAAAAGACTCCGTGTTTGACCAGCTGCTTAGTTGAGGGTTTTTAGCCATGGCTTAGTCTTTGACACCAGAAGTCTGGCTAAGGCTTCTTTTAAGGTCTTTTCTTGTTTTTTTTTAAATCTTTGTCTAGCATCTTTGTGGTAATATTCAATCAAAATTGTATGTAGGTTCTTTTAACATGTTCTCTTTAAAAAAGAAAAAATAATTCCATTATGTTGGAAAAATACTTTCAGTTCAGTATAATTAAAACATATTTGTTATATGTCCATTAAGTATCTTTTCTGAACATGAAAAAAATCATCTTATGAAGATCTGGTATGATAGACAATACTTATTTTAGCATACAGATATTCTAGATATACAGCTGCAACAGGGTCTTACCAGGAAATGGTTAGAACATCTCATTTGTTGTTTTCTTGTCATCCAAAGCACAGCAGAAAACATAGACTTCAAGAAACTCTTACATTTTAGTTGAGTAGAGGATATCTACCCTCAAATCCTGCAGCCCATAGTCTGTAACCTTTATAATCTAAAGTATTGCAATAAACACAAATTCAGAAACGTAGAACATTCTGTTCGTTTATGTAATAAGGCATTTAATTTTTTAGTGCTTCATTCTCTGTGAGCTGGTTATGGTTGCTCTAGAGGAGCTGTTGTAGCTTCAAATTAGAAAGCAGGAGGTTATTCTAACTGTAGAAATGGAATTCACGCACCAGTTCCAATATCTTATTGTCATCTTCTGGTTTAGCTATAGCTGATTACTTATGGAAGTAGACAACTGTTATATAAAAACATTAAATGATAAAAAATCTGTCCTATCCTTGTTAAACTGTTCTGATGCTGAGTTATGTTCTTAATTGAAAAGGGCTCATTTTTTTGTCGAGTTTACATACAGAGGGCTTTCAGTTTCTTAGGGTGGCTTCAGCTAGATGAAAGAACTTTATACGGTCATAATTTTTTCCTAAACCAAAGTTCTCTGATTGTCATCAAGTTGGTTTTTAAGCTTTGAAGGATACAGCATATTGAGCTTATAAATATCCTATCAGAAGAGATGCTTTCCAGACCAGAAATTTTCTTAGATTTTTGTCCTTTCATGTTTCAACTCTCTAACTTCAAGCATATTCTTTTCAGGAGACCATAGTGCTAAGCAACAAAATTCTGTAATGTGTTCAACATTATCTGTTCATGGAGTGATTTGTGGTTATTTACAAGGCAATATCAACAGTTGTGTTTTCCTCAGAAGAGGGATTGTGCTGAATATATTTTCAGTTAGTTAAGTCAGTTGCTATTATCCTGAATGTTATCTTACAGTCTGCCTGGGTACTATTGCTTGATGTGGATTTCTTGATAGAGCCTTTAGCTCTTTGAAATTACTTGTTGTTACTTTGTTCAGAATAATCCAGTTTATGAGGTGTTCATGTTGTTGTGTAGGTCACAAACATGTACATGTATCCCTTACCCCCCCCCCCCCCCACATAACTGCCAATTCTGTCATCTTCCAAAGAAAAGAAAAATCCTGTAACTTGTCACATTTCTTATTGAACAAAGCCAGGTAAAGAGAACTTGAAGTCGAGCAAAAAGAATGGTAGCTAGATCATTAGTACATGAAAATCAAACCTTTTAGACTAATCTAGAGTTGTGTCCTGTGTCCTTATAAGTGCAAAATTATAAACCCCTAAACTGTCAATTTCTTCAACCTCATTGTCTTCTAGTTAGATTTGGTAATTAGTTTTTAATTAGGCAAGGCCAAGAAAACAAAATTTTTATTTTTCTAATTGTGAACAAATACTTCTGTATAATTAGTGCACAGACATAGATGTAACAATGGGAGAAAAAAGTATGATTATGCAGTCTAAAAACTTTTAAGTATTAAGTGTCCGTATACCACTGTTTTGTGTGAATCTCTGGGATTATATGGCTGCTGTAGGTCAGAATTCTGGAAGCAGTACTGAAATTAATTAAGTCATGTGTAGAACACTGGTATCAAAACAGGTAGAGTTGTATTTAAAAGTGTATTTGAAAAGAAAAGCCTGAATTAGTTCTCCTTGATTTAGAGACACTTGATTTAGTACCACAGCTATTGGAGGGTGAGAGAGAGGGGTTTAGCAACTTTTTTCTTTTGTCAAGTTTGTGAAAGGGAATGTCTAACAGGAGAAGATATCACATGTAAATTATGTATTTGTTTCTTCATGTGATCTTTTTGCTTTGCATTGGATTCTGTTATAGTGTGGTAACACACTGCATACCTGGTTGTGCTTTCTGTAATGGTACGGCTGAGTTTGAATGTGAAGAATAATTCATGGTTTTATAGTTTATGTACATTGTAGCTGTCAGAGCAGAAATTGGACTCTGCAGTCTAGAAAATTAATTCCTAAATCAGTTTAATCCAGAAAAGTGTTTTACCTTTCTGCTCTCTGGAACTGGCCTGATTAGTAAAAATGGACATAGCAAAATGAAATAATTCTTATTGACAACAGCAGATATAAACCATCCAAAATTAGCATATAATGCTAATTTAATGTGTTTAGTCTCAGTATAGTAATAATGAATTTCCTTTTGGCATTCAGTTATTTAGTTTAAAATCTCAGCAGAATATGGAGTGTGAAGTTAAACTTTTTAAAAACAGAAATAATACTGCAAGATGAACCTTTATACACCACCCCTCCTTTTAAATGTTACTTATAAGTACTCGTTAAGAAGAAAGGAATTAAATCTGACTGCTCAAACTATCGTGGTATTACTCTGCTCTCCATTGCTGGCAAAATCCTGGCAAGAATACTCTTGAACAGACTAATACCCACTATAGCAGAAGGAATCCTTCCTGAAAGTCAGTGTGGTTTCAGAGCCAACAGGAGCACCACAGACATGGTATTTGTCCTCAGACAACTGCAAGAGAAGTGTAGGGAACAGAACAAAGGTCTCTATGTAACCTTTGTCGACCTCACCAAGGCTTTTGACACTGTGAGCAGAAAAGGTCTGTGGCAGATTTTGGAACGTTTAGGTTGTCCCCCTAAATTCCTCAAAATGATCATCTCACTCCATGAGGATCAGCATGGCCAAGTCAGATATGGCAACACACTTTCTGAGCCCTTTTTAATTAAGAATGGTGTGAAACAAGGCTGCGTTCTCGCTCCTACCCTATTCACCGTCTTCTTTAGCATGATGCTCCAAAGGGCCACAGCAGACCTCAATGATCAGGACGGTATCTACATTCGATACCATACTGATGGAAGTCTATTCAATCTAAGGCGACTGAAGGCCCACACTAAGACCTTAAACCATCTTGTCCGGGAGCTGCTTTATGCTGATGACGCCGCCCTTGTTGCCCACACAGAAGCAGCTCTGCAGCGTTTAACATCCTGCTTTGCAGATGCTGCTGAGCTCTTTGGTCTGGAGGTCAGCTTAAAGAAGACAGAGGTCCTCCATCAGCCTGCACCTCAGGATGTCCCCCATCATCCCCACATCACCATTGGTCAATCAGAGCTCAAATCAGTCCAACAGTTTAATTACCTCGGTAGCCTCATCTCCTCAGATGGTAAGATTGACGGAGAGATAGACAACAGATTAGCAAAGGCATATAGTGCTTTTGGAAAACTCCATAAAAGAGTATGGCGTAATAAACACCTGAAGAAAAGCACCAAGATCAGTGTTTACAAAGCCATTGTGTTGTCTACTCTCTTATATGGATCTGAATCATGGGTCATCTACCGCCACCACCTGCGTCTCTTAGAACGCTTCCATCAACGCTGCCTCCGTACAATTCTAAACATCCACTGGTCAGACTATGTGACCAATACATCTGTTCTAGAGCAAGCAGCTATCACAAGTATCGAGGCCATGCTGATGAGAACACAGCTGCGTTGGGCAGGTCATGTCTCCAGGATGAAGGACCACCGCCTCCCTAAGATCTTGCTTTACGGTGAACTTGCCACTGGCTGCCGCATGAGAGGAGCCCCGAAGAAAAGATACAAGGACTCCCTGAAACAACATCTCAGCCTTGGCCATATTGATCACCATAACTGGTCTACTCTGGCCTCAAATCGGGAGGCCTGGAGACACACCATCTATAACGCAGCTGTCTCCTTTGAGAACACACGCAGGATCACTCTCGAGGAGAAAAGGCAATGCAGAAAGAACCGTGTATTGCAGGATACACCATCTAAGGAGTCTTTCTGCTGTGCCTTTTGCAATCGGATTTGTCTGTCACGTATTGGCCTCATAAGCCACCAGCGTGCCTGCAGCAAATGTGGATAGAGCCTTCCCAAATCTTCGTTCGCGAAGCCCAGCCATGAATAAGTACTCGTGGTGCCATTGCTTGTTAAGTATTCACAGTTTAGGAAGAGGCTATGTACTCTTTTTCCTTTTCACTTAAGACTTATCTCCTGCCTTTTACAGATGGTATCTTTAGTAAGCTATTATTTATCATTCCTTGTTTCAGACTGCATAATACAGTACCAGCAGGAGTATTTAAACAAACATAATAAACAGGAAAACAGTCTTCTGTTAGTTTTTTTTTTTACATATAGAATGTGGCAGCTGTTTTCATGTATTTGGATGATTTAAATTTTTAATTACATGTACGTTAGATACGAGTCTGTAAGAAAATCTTTACACTATATCTTATTAATAATTGAAGAATGTGCCCTTAAATAACAGTTTTCCCCCCATAATTAGTGTTTAGAAAGAGCCATGAAGTTTGCGTTTGAGGAGTTCCATCTCTGGTATCAATTTGCGTTGTCCTTGATGGCAGCGGGAAAAGTAAGTCTAAATTTTTTTATGTGATTCTTGTATTGATGATGTTTGATAACAACATTTGACACTTCCATAATTTTCATCCGTAGTGTTTTTGAAAATAATTTTAATCCTTAAATCACCTAAGTACACTGTACTCCTAGTGTTTTACGCCTAGTAAATTTATGCCTAGTGCTGTACAAAGAATGTTGTTATTTCAATAGTTTCTAACTAAGGAAGACTGAAAAGTGGTGATAACAACTGTCTTGCCAACAATCTTAAGATCAGCTGATTGAATGGAAGCAGTGAATTATACGAGATCCTATTATACATTGAAACTTGTTTAAATATGGTTTTGATGAATGAATTTTATACCACAGTACAAATTAATGCTAATTCTTGATGCTCTTGCTTTTTTTTTGTCCTTTGAAAATTTATGTCTTTCTTTTAATGTTGCTGTCTTTGAGACTGTGTATTCTGGGCAACTGATGGATAGTTTTAAAATTTTATATAACCTAGGAACTTATGTTATCAGATGCAATCCTCTATTTTCAGTTATTTTTGCTTTTCCCTGTCATGTTAAAGAAAATAAATCACATTAATTATGTAATATAAACAACTAATTTTCTAAAAGATCATTCTCAATGAGGATAATTTGCTTATTTTCAGTATAGGGGAAAGGAATGTATTTTCCTTAGAAAATATTTTAGCAGGACATTGGTTCTAAAGAGGCTTGGTTCTTCCTCCTGTTCTCTATATACTTTGAGTTATCTTCTAAGTTGTAATTGGATAGAGGCAAATAAATTAAAAAAAAAAAAAGGAGGAACAGTGCCAGTCTGTCTTAGAGCTATTCCTAATTGCTGTCGTAACTCCCAAAGAACACCAAAACCCTGCTTGTTGTCAGGGCTCTGTCTTGTTCCTTCTCTTTTGTTTGCCTGGCTCAAAGGCTGTGAAGTTACAGGCCTAGCAAAGTTTTAAATGCATCTCAACTGTTTCCTGAATCGTGTACCGTTGGAATTACATTCTCGACAAATGTTTCTCTGGGGATGCTTAATGATGGTTCACGGGGGTTAAATAACAAAAGCAACGCCTAAAGTCTTGTGTTGCACTGGCATGAGGAGTTGTGACAGATTCTCAACAAAATGGGTAGTAATGTCTCCTTCATGTGGGAAAAATAAAGTAAATTATGTTTCACAGATAGAAGATTCCTATTTATGCTTTCAGTAATTTCAATGGAAAATGTTTTTAACAGTCTGCTCGAGCTGTTAAAGTCTTGAAGGAATGTATACGTTTGAAACCAGATGATGCAACTATTCCACTCCTTGCTGCAAAGCTCTGTATGGGATCTCTCCATTGGGTAAGCTTTGCCACTCTGTCTTTTCATCAAGAGCTGTACTAAAATCTTGGTTTAGGGACATTGCAAATACTTTCTCGCAGTGACTGCATACACTTGGGCATCTCTAAAAGTATAGCACTTATATGTAAATGCACGTGTACATCCCTGTTTGAATGGCTAATTTGAAATATTTGACAGCAATGGTTATGTTTATCAAGGTAGCATATTTTGATACTGATCTATGACCTAGCTTAAAATGTATAAAAATTGAAGAGTTCTTGGAAGACAGGTTATAAATGCAACTTAGACTTCTCTTTCCTCTGTGCAAAAAGAAAATAACTTTTTGGAAGATAATGAGACAGATCTCATAATCAAGAGACTCTTCTGTTGGTACCATGTTTGCAGGTAGCTGATGTTTATGAATTCATAGTAGGGACAGTGTCTTTAAAAGAAATGTGACTTGAGTTGTATTTTAGATAACTTTGAAATTAGTGTATCTGTACAAAAACATTAAGGTGATTGAACATCATCATGTGGTTTTCAAGATATATGTGTAATTTTTAGGAGAATATATTTAAAATATTTTAAAAAGGAGGAAAAAAGGAGGGAAAGGTCACAATCAGAAACTGAGAAAATAGAGTAGTAGCAGAAACATGACTTGTTGAGGCTGACAAAAATACAGTCTTAATTAGAGTGGATCCTAGTTCTGTAAATTGTTCCATATTGATTGAGTCCATATGGAGTAGTTTACTGTACTTAGCATTTACATTTACTGGAATGGATTCAGATGGTATTTTTTTCTTTCTAGATTGTTAAATAGTGTGCTAGGATGGATGTGCTATTAAACCTTAATTTTTTTATGTTTCTCTGTTTATGAGTTTGCATGCATTCAGCAATAAAGTATTCAAAACAGAGTTCTGCATGGATATGCTGTTTTTTACAGGAGACATAGTTCTTGTGATTGATTTTCCTAAAGAAATTGTTCATGGGCCAAGAACTCTTATTTATAAAAATGCAAAAATGGTAGATGGCATATATGGACCAGAAATACTTTTTTTTAATTAAAAAAAAAAAAAGAAAAAGAAAAGAAAAAAGGTAAAAACACAGTGTGTTGTGTGACAGAGTTTCTCTCTACCATGAGTGTTTCAGTTTAAAATCTGTTGTCTTTACTCAATATTTAGTAGGACAACTAAGTCTAATGAGAAATGAAATGGTCCTTGAAAGCAATCATGGCTGAGGTTTTAGCAGGCTCAGTGCGCATAAAATACATTTTGTGCATTCTTCACATTGTAATGAAATATTTAGCTAGTTTTAGACTTACATGGATGTTTTATAATGTTTTCAGTTGGAAGAAGCTGAAAGATTTGCCAAGGCAGTTGTTGATCTTGGGGACAAAACATCAGAGTTCAAAGCAAAAGGCTACTTGGCACTGGGATTGACTTACAGTCTGCAGGCCACTGATGGTAAGATAAGAATAAACATTCACAATTGGAAATTCCCATGTTCTCTAAAAAAGGTTACCTAGCAGAATGCTAGACATAAAATTGAAGCTTCTATGTGCAACCATTTTTTCAGTCAATGTATTAAAGCTTCTTCAATTAGCGTGTGGAATGAATTATCTTCATCATTCATATCACTGATTCAATATATCCTTTTTAGCATCTTTGCGAGGGATGCAAGAGGTCTTGCAGAGAAAGGCTCTTCTTGCATTTCAAAGGTGAGTGGGTGTTGATCTTTTCATTTTGTTCTGCTATATGTAGTGAAAAGCTTTCGTTGTGTGTTAAAAAGAGAGACTTGTAGAAGATCATGTAATGACAACTTCACCTCTGGGAGTCTCCCTTCCTCAGTACAGAATGTATTTCTTTAGCATTTCTTTCCATCATCTTCTGTCAGAATTACCTCAATTGATTTCTACGGATTTCCTTTTATTTAATTTTAAAGACACTTGTGTTGCTCTCTAGTATAAAATATTTGCTGAAATATTCTGTTCTGATCTAGAAGGAAAAATCATGTGATGTAAGGTTTCTAGTCGTGGTTCAATGTTATAGTGTTTCTAAGAGCCAGCCGCTGATCAGGTTGTAGAGCAGGCTTTTGCACTTACCTCCATAGTGGCAGAGCAATAATTGAGGCCCTGCTGCTGTGGGTGAGGGGCAAATTGCAGGTAGTAAGGTAGTAAACTAGGGATAAATTAAAAATTCTATCTGGACATGTAACAGTGTAGGCAGTGACAGTGCAAATGCCCTGTCTTCCAAGTATCTTGCATGGAAGTAGTGCCCTTGGGGATGACAGTAGTTCATTCTCAAGGATTTGACTCTGCAAACGAAATGAGGATGAACAGGTGAATGAGAACTCTCTACCCTAATTATAGAAGAAACAAATCTTGATGGAAAAGCTGACAAAAGTGCTGCAGCATCTAAATATGTCTCTTTTATGTTTATATACCCTTTAAAACCCTCCTTTGGTGAGATAAGCCTAAATGGAGGGAAACAGATTTGTGCATTAATGTGAAATGAAGTCCTGGTTTCTTAGTGGTGATTTTGTATCTGAAGGAATAGGATTGAAAAAGTATTTTGCAGGTAACTTTAGAGCGAGGTTGGTATATATTGGTCCTTCTTTCTTCTGTCTTGTCTTAGCTATTCTTCTGTATGTAAATATATTTTAACATGTCTTTGCTCTTCTTGTTCCTTAGTGGCTCTAATTATTTTTTTTAGTACTTCAGCATTCTTTCTCCACGTTGTAACTGAACTTTCTACCTCCTGGTTTATACCTCAGTTCCTCACCCATCCCTCTTACCACTACTGACTTAATCATCACTGTTTCAAAACTATCAGAATATAAATTTATACACAGAAGATCTTAGAACATGAGGATTAGTGGCATCTGCTTTCAATTGATACAATATCCTAGAAACAATGTTTTGTATTTTTAACTGCATGTTCCAGGATATTGCTGTTAAGTTATGCTTAGTCATCCTTTCAGTTATGTAGTCATCCTTTCAGCTGTCCTTTCTCATAATGAACTTGTACATAGACTACTAATTAAATTATCTTTCAGAGGTTTTACCCATGTGCAGGGTATATGTTTTGAAAGTTCTAGTGAATGGCTTGGACTCCGTACAGAATCTTGAGTAGAATGGTTTGTTCCTCCAAAATAACAGACTTTTGGCATCTCAAAAACCCCGTAGCTACCTTCTAAGAAAATGGAAAAAAAGTATGTTTTAAAGGAGTTTGTTCTCCATATTAACATATTTCCCCACTTGTGTTCATAGAGAGACTTATATCTGATAGATCAGCTGTACTGGAAATACACTCCAATATAATTGGTAATATTTCTGGTTCCTTGCTTTGATAACATAAGTATAGGATGCTACTAAAAATTTGCTACCACAGAGAGTATGTTATGTTCAACATACCAGTCATGCCCACTTTCTGTTCCCACATCTGAAAAATAAATGTCTTCTAGGAGATGGAAGTTCAAATTCTCCATTCATCTCCTACATAAAGCGAGCAGCCTATACTGGACTGAGTATTTTGATGTGCCATTTGCTTTAACTTTTTTTTTGTGGATTTTTTTAATCACTTACCTCGAGGACCAATTCCTGAAGACATATTTGCCCTGAAGAAATATGGTTATGTTTTGGACCCTTGTCTGAGCCAAATTTCAAGGCTTACCAGTTTGTGATAGTGGTCAGTCAAGAAGGTGCTCGTTACTGTCTTCACACAGTACTGAGTGGGTGTTTGACTGAATTTTTTTTTAAATTTGGAAGACTTTCAGTGCTTTTCCTGTGGTTGGTGTGAATTGAAGTTTCACAGAACTCACCAAATGGTAGATAGATAGTAACAGCTTTATTCTTTCACTATCTGGAGCTTGGGTGACTGAACAAGTACCCTCTAAGTTAAAATCTTTTGTTCTCTCTCAGTATTACTTCATTTGTAAACTTAAATTTTAAAAAGGGCTGGTCCTGGACAGGCTTTACCTGTGCCTCTAATCTCCAATTTAGAGGTGAAATTACCAAATATAAAACTGTCCCTTAATAACTTAAAACAACTTCAAAGCGTACTGGGTGTAGTTGCTAAACTGAAGAAGTTGTACAGCTCTTTGGATTCAGGAAGACAGAAATGCACAGGTCAGAAGCAGAAGGATCTCTTTGTGATTGTAATGATTTGAAGGTCAATTTTGTTACTTCATCCCAATGGAGACGACTCATTAGATGTTCCAAAGATGATTATTACACATCCTGTTTCTAAATGAGCATTCTGGAAGATTGAAACAAATATAAATAAAAAAAATAGTTCCATGCTATCTGCCCAGAACTTACTACACATCATTTTGGGGTACAGCCATATTTTTTTTTGTTCTTATATTCAAACATTGCCCTGCTAAAAAGCAGAAAGATTGTATTACAGGAGAAAATAGTAGAGTGTATTACAAGAACAACTTCTGTAGGATAATAAAATAAATAAGACTCAGAGTGTGCATTTGACCAAAACATTAAAAACAAGAAAACAAACAAAATTTTTAAAAAGATGGGGAAAAGTTATTTTGTGTTTCAATAACTGGGATTACTTGCAACAGCAGTAGTTAGAAATATTTTGAGAGTGAGTAATCAAAAAACCACTTCTGCGGTTGGGCATCTCAATGCTTTTGTCAATGAAAGTTCTACTTGTAAAAAGATCATCAGCATAAACTTCTTCATCTGAACTTCAAATATAGGTTCATGATGAATCAGATCTTATGCAGCCTTTTACTGTAATGCTGTGATAAAGAAGCTGTCCAGCCTAAATCTCTTTTACATTGCAACACAGCAAGTAAATCCAGCTGAAGCTGGTCACAAGCAGTCTTCTCCCTCAGTATTGAGGCCAGCCCCGTTTAACATCTTTATCAATGATCCAGATGAGAAGATCAAGTGCACCCTCAGTCTTTCACAAACGACACCAAATTGGGTGGGAATATTGATCTGCTGGAGGGTAGGAAGACTCTGGAGAGGGATCTGGACAGGCTGGATTGATGGGCCGATGCCGATGGTATGGGATTCAACAAGGCCAAGTGCTGGGTCCTGCACTTGGGTCACAACAACCCCCTGCAGTGCTACAGGCTGGGGAAGAGTGGCTGGAAAACTGCTCAGTGGAAAAGGACCTGGGGGTGCTGCTCAACAGCTGGCTGAACGTGAGCCAGCAGTGTGCCCAGGTGGCCAAGAAGGCCAATGGCATCCTGGCTGGTATCAGGAGTAGTGTGACCAGCAGGACCGGGCAGTGATTGTCCCTCTGTATTTGGCGCTGATGAGGCCACACCTTGAATTCTGTGTTCATGTTTGTGCCCCTCAGGACAAGAAGGACATTCAGGTGAGAAGTGGCTGAGGGAGCTGGAGTTGTGTAGCATGGAGAAGAGGAGGCTCATGGGGGACCTTATTGCTCTCTACAACGACCTGGAAGGAGATTGTAGACAGGTGGAGGTCGGTTTTTTCTCCCAGTTAACAAGTGACAGAATGAGAGAAAATGGCCTCAAGTTGCACCAGGGGAGATTTAGATTAGATATTAGGGAAAATTTCTTCACAGAAAGAGTTGTCAAGCATTGGAACAGGATGACCAGGGAAGTGTTGGAGTTATCATCCCTGGAAGTGTTCAAAGTGCATACGGATATGGCACTTGAAGATATGGTTTAGTGGTGAACACGATGATTGTGCTGGTTGATGGTTGGACTTGATGATCTTAGAGGTGTTTTCCAACTTTAATGATTCTGTGATAACAAAATGTTCTACTAACTTAGTCTTAAAGCAACTTAAAACCAAGAATTAACTGGCTTCCTAGGAGGCTTATTTTGCTGGACTGAAAATATGTTTGAACTTTGTGAGTCTGGGAATGAACAAAACTCTGACCTACTGTGCTACTACTCTTCCTCTTTGAGTTCTGTGTTTCAGAACCATCCGACCACATTCAGTGTGATTGCTTGGGTACTTCTTGTGCAGATGATATAATTCTTCTCTTTGAAGGCATGTTGTTTTGGGGGATTTGTATTTGGATTTTTTGTTCCTTTTTCTGTTAGAAAACTTAATTTAATTAATTTTTATTATAACTATATATTATTCTTAAGTAATTACATCTAGTGTTTGCTTTGGAGTACAATATATTTGAAGAATCATTTTGTATTGCTCATTTTATAGAGTTATACTGAAATTACACAATTAATTTCTATTAAAAATTACTTTTAATGTCCCAAAGTGCTTCCTTTAAATCATGGATGATTAAGAAGTATGTGAAAAGTTGCTGAATGAACACTGCTTTTATAAAAATATGAGCATACGGGTAGTTAAGACATCCGAATATGAATAAATGAATATATATGCATTTGTAGGTATGTCTAACCTGTCTGAACAGGGGCAAAACTCACTATTGTTTGTTTTGTTTCTTTATTTGTAAGGGCTCACAGTTTGTCTCCAACGGATCATCTGGCAGCATTTTACTTGGCACTCCAGCTTGCCATATCCAGACAGGTTAGTTTTGTTTTAAAAGTGCAGCATCATGCTGTCATATGAGGATTAGAATTTCTATCTGTTGATGGATACAGGTAAAAATTTCTTCAATAAAAACCTGTTTTTCCTTGTGCCTATATGCATATATGAGAGAAAAACCCTGAAATACTCTCTCCAAACACCTTCAGTCTTATCTATAGATTTCTCCGGAGTTCTGCCTGTATTTTCAGCTCTAGGATCAGAAATAAAACATAAGTAAATCCACTTACTTCAGCATTTATTTTGCTAGATGGAGAGAAAAAAAAGTCAGTTTTTACCATATTTCTACCTATTATGTGTAATCTCTGCTCAGATCCTGGAGAGTGGGACTCCTGAATCTAGTCTTTAATGATGTTGATAGTGCTTAAATCTTGAGTATCTGCTAAGATCCGTGGCCTTTCTGAGTACCTTTAGGAGATTAGATTATTGTGAACAAAATTACAAAAAAAGTGTTTAAGAAAACTGGAAAATATTTTAACTCTATAAAAGAGTTAAATTTAGTCCAATTTGTGCAGCTGTTATGTTTGAGGCATTCTACCATATATCACATGGATTTGTATATTGTGGAACTGCTTTGTATCTATCATGATAAGCCTTTTCCTATGTTGTCTTTTATTTTAATTTTGAGCACAGTTGTTTATTTTTGAACACAATCTAGGTGACTACTTGTCATTGCTATTGACAGAGGAGCGCAAACCTTGGTCTATGTCACATTAGTGTGGAATGGACTGTCAATTAGCACAAAACATATTTCAGTAGCAGGCTATGACTCTGTATTTCTGAATTCCAAAATTTTCATGCTGCTTAACTAAATTTTCCATTTTTAGCACCTAATGTACTTATTTTGAACAAAAGCACATGCTGCTGAGGAGATAATGAAATTCTACGTAAAGAAAAGTTACTGTTCCTGTCTAACTATACATTTTAGTTAATACATTACAATTAAAGTATTTTCAAGATCATTTAGAAGTACAACCAATACTTGAAAGAGAATAGTAAGTGAATATTTTAAGGGGTTGAAGGGTACTGTTTTATATATCTTACTTAATTTTTACTGTAGAGCATCAGGTCCATTTTAAACTTCTCAGTAGTGTCTTACAGGAGTGTATAGAATTCTACATGTTATGTGTATTTCGAAAATTTTATGGATATGCAGTCAAGTAATAGGCAATACTTCTAATAGTGGCGCTTTCTTTTTTTTTTTTTCAAATCAGATACCAGAAGCTTTGGGTTATGTTCGTCAGGCTCTGCAACTACAAGGAGATGATGCCAACTCTCTTCATCTCCTTGCACTCTTACTATCAGCCCAGAAACATTATCATGATGCTTTGAATATCATTGATATGGCCTTGAGTGAATATCCAGAAAATTTTATGTGAGTGAATGTCATGTTTGCTTTCTGCGCTTTCTCTCATACTTATTTTTTCTAGATTCTCATCTCATTCATTTCAAGAGGGGATGGATTTGAAGTTTAGTCTATTTTTTGTTTACAGTAGTCTTCCCTCCTGCCCATTTAATACAACTCTCTTTATTAAACACTTGTTAAAGAGCAATTAAGGATTTGGTTTGGAAGGGAGGATAGACCTGTATAGTTGATCTTATTATAGTTTTTTTTCTACACTCTGTGTAGATAATTTCTCCCTGTTGCATGCTTTATAGTATGTTTGCATCTTCTGCTTTTATGCTATATTCCAAGAAGAATAAACAGGATTTTACTATTAGCTTGCATAGATTTATTCCATCCTACAGATAACTCTATGCATATTGTATGGAATGTGTTCTGTAAAATACATCATAACAGAGAATCTCCTGTTTTGCCTGGATAATAACCAGTCATCTGAAGCTGGCTGATGGATAACTAAACAAGTGAACAGGGAAGAAGCGTGTTTGGTAAATGTTCTCTTGTTTAAGAAAGAAATTATTCTTTCTGTTTATTTTTCATGTTGAGAACATCTTAAAATACACTTGGGTTCTGTACTTTTTTAGTTTTTTGGGTTTTTTTAAATTTATTTTCTTAGTGAAAGTCTCATTAAACGCTTTACAGTGAAATTTCTCAGGGACAGCTTCCATTAACCATTGACTTCCAATCTTCCAACTTTCCAGTCTTTATCAACTGTCAGTGAGGTTGTAATCCATAGTATTACAAACATCCTACATACTTATTTAGACAGTTTTTTTGAAGTATAAATTACTGGCCTGTGTCATAAATTGTTATTATGTCAACATACAAAAAAATAGGATTTTTAAAAGAATTATTAGTTTGAAAATAGAGATTGCAGTGGTTTTCCTTCCTGTTCCTTGACATTTCAGTTCTCCTTTTGACTGTCTGTGTAAGGTACTGTTGCCTTTTTCCTTATAAATCTGACCAGGACTTCTGTTGATATCACCTCTCCTCAGAACTTCTGTGGCTTGCAGCCAGTTCTGTGTAAATGCTTTTGTGACCTTTTGCTATTTCTCACTTCCTGTTTTATCCACACACCTATGGCTTGTCTCGGTTCTTATCAGGGGCTTCTACACATGCTTCATGATTTCAGAACTGTCTAGCAGTTCCTCTCTCAAACCTGTCTGTGCTTTCCTCAGGACCAAGGGACATGTCAGCAAGTCATGGTTTAAGATGCAATTGAAGTATCAGCAACCTAATTCTGTACCCTATTATTGTTAAAGAGATATGCTCAAAGAACTATGAGTGTCATCTTCTGTCCTTGTTTCATTTTCTGCAGCTTAGTGGCAGTGTAAATTACAGACAAAGCTGTAATTTACAGCTGTAATTTAAAGCTGTATCTCTCAGAGTAATAATTGTCTAGAAGTATGTCTGAAACTGTAGTTTCAGAATTCCCGATTGTTGTAAGAGAGCTCCCTATTACGTTAATCTCTTTTGTAATGCAAAACCAAAGGTTCATTCAGTAAAACATTTAAAATTACTCTTGAGCATTCAAAAGGTATTTATGGGTTTTTCAAATGTGGTTCATGGCCTTTCCAGACTTGTTTATACTGCAGCTCTGGTTAAACATGTTGCCCAAGTTGTTCATGACAGTACTGATCTTTGTATTAATGCATGTGTGTATTATTAATCATATGAGTCATAATAGTGATTCTAAATCATTAGTCCTGTTGTATAATGCAAACACTGTGTCCGTACAGTGTACTGTGTTACAGTCTACTGGTGCAGATCAGGGAATTTGAGAGGAATATTTTGGCATTAGGAATCACCATCAGATGTGGCAGCAATTGCTGAAGAATCCAAGGTGCAACACAGCTATATATATCTCTAGAAAGTCTTTCAGAGTCTGGTTTTTAGTGCCGTCAAGTTCCCAGAGAAGTCAAAAATATGACTGAGGTTTCTTGGATGCTCTCTGCAATTGATACTGACAGCTAGACAGACATATCTGGTCAATAATATAAATTTAGATTGATTGCTTCACATAACTGGGTAATTTTTGCAAGGATTTATCAGCAAAACCTCAGGTTTACAGTCTATTCTTGAACACTGTATCTGGTGCTCTGTGTATGTGCATATACACAAGTGCTTAGTGTATCACTGAGTCCATTTTCTTATTTTGCAACTTCTATAAACAATATAATGGTATTTCCTAGCAGATTGGGAAGAGATCCTCTTGTGTTCCGCTACAGCTTGCTAGTTTTTAAATACGCTGAAACATTTGATTATTCAACTGTGGTGCTTTATTGGCTTTTGTAAACACTTCACTTATCTTTATGCTTTATCTTTCAGTTATGTCTGCAATCCTAATAAGTAAATACTACAAGAGTTTTCTTGGTATTCTCTGTATTTCCTGTTAGACTCCTGTGCTGGTTTAAAAGTAAACCGATGGGAGAAACGAACCCACCTCAAGAGAGATTACAAGTCAGAGTTACTATTTATTAAAAGGATTACAATAAATACAGTGATACAGTACAGAGAAAAAACTGGTTTTAACCCCCAAAGACAGATGTGTAACCCTGCACCCTTGGACAAGAACAGAATGGTGTTCATCAAACCCTGTGCTGAGCACCACGTGGCCCCCTGGGTGCAAAGTAAAAGGAAAGGAAAGCTGTTGGTCTGGGTGATGGTCGCAGTTCTGTGGAAGTAATGATCACAGTCTTGTCAAGAGTGGCAGTCGCAGTCCTGTTAAAGTTCTGGTTCTCCTCAGGATCTTATGAGTGGTACCAGAAGTCCCAATATATGCTTAGGTTCAGGTGGGAATGCCCAGTACCTCCCTACAGGACAGAGAGTTTCACAATGGGTGATTTAGCTCTGTGAGTCATGGGATAGTTTTGGAATCTTTGATGGTCTAGGTTGTTTGTTGTAGCTGCGTATTATGCCAGTCCAGTGTGGCCCATTAGCAGAGACGACCCCCAGGCTGAGTGTGAACGTGCTCATGCCTCCCCAGAGGGGAGTTATCACAGCTGAGTCATTGGTGTGAAGACAAGAAACACTCCCCTGCCTCGAAGGGTTTCTTTAACACCCAGCTTGTAGCCTGAGGTGTTAGGTGTGCCCTGGTCAGCTGCTGCAAATGATCCATTTATTAACAGTCCGTCAGAAATTACATAGAGGGTGTAGAATACACGATTTTAGTTATACTCACATAGTGATATACTGATCCCGGCCCCTATAACTAGGACATCTCCATTACCTCACCCTTATGCAAAATGATACTTTAGTGGCTTTGCAGCATAATAAGCCTCTGTATTTGGAAGTATTAAAGTAAAACATAGAACTTGTGATTTATGTTATTTCTTATTTCTTCCATTGTTATTCCTATCTGCATATCTCTGTATGCTGTAATTGCATTACTGCACTGAGTGCTGTCCTGCCCTCTTCACAGCTTTTCTTTTATTTTGCTTTTCTTTAAAAAGTATCTACATTTTCAGAAATTTATAATACAGCATCTTCGTAAAATTCCAGAGGTTGAAAGGAAGTTATAGGATATGTAGTGAGTCATGCTGGGAAGTGGATACTTTCCAGCACTTTTTTGTAATCACTTAGTAAATATGTTATCTGTCAGTTTTTTATATCTGAAAGCCTGATGCATTCCTAGAATTCATGTTCAATAGTTGAGGCGTACAGCAAGCATACCTTTGTATCTTAATTTAGCCTTAACCTTCCTGCATTATAAAGCTGATAGTTGACCAATCAGATAATGGTTTTGCCATAGATGCCTCAAGGTCAATAAGTAGAAAGAAACTCCTCAGAGCCAAAGAATTATGTCTCATCATTATCTAAAGAAGTAGAAGGAATTAGCAGACACATTGGGCTGTTAGCAACAAGGTCTAGCTTTTTTTTTGAATAGGGTTGATTGTTCTTCCTTTATTCATTAATTTGGGAACATAAATACACAATCTACTCTGAGACCTTAAGAGGTATTGGGAAAAATACTGTTGAAAATCTAGGAAACCACTAGAAGTGAAATAGATGTGTAGTAATGTTTTTCAGAGATAATAAAAATTCAAGGTATTTACTGAATATCTGAATATTGGTTCAAACTTTTTGTCAGCTTAAGTTGCTAGGTTGTAGCCACTACTTACAAACAAGTTAGCCGTATTTTTCAGAGTAATACTATCAATCTCCTTTTAAATGCTGCCTCTGAAGCCTCTGGAAATCGAGCATGCTTTGATCCAGGGACAAAAAAATCTCTAAATAAAAGACTGCTGAACAGATTAAGGTACTGAAAAGACTACAAATACTGTACTTTGCTGAGATGGGTGGGAGTAAAGTGCCAACACCAAAAATCCTGAATAGTTAGTCCTAGTCAGGTGCTACTGTGTTTGAATTCACTTGAAATTACACATTTAGCCCCCTCTCATTAGACAACTTGTCCCAGTAGTAGAAATGTGAAGTTCAGTTCTTCTCCAGCTTGACAAAGTTTGAACCCACAAATGGTGCTGCTCTGAGTCCTAGCTGTTGAAATATGTGGGAAGCTGGGTGAGATGATCCATTTCTCCTCCTGAAACAGAAGCAAGGACGTGCTACCCTGAATGCGAGGAGAGTAAGCAGGAAGGAGCCACGGTATATCCTAAATTACTAAAGTACTTAACTGGGAGGGGTTCTTGAGGTCTTGGTTGCTTGGGATTTCCTTGTTTTATCTATATTATTCCACTGATTTCCTCCTCTGAATGTATAGGCATTCCCAGAGGTGTGCATTACAGTCTGAGGGTGTGTTTAAGGATATGCAAGGTGATGGTGGTTGTGTTGCTTTGGTTCATATTCGGCTTGTAAACCTTGTGCAATATATATAGTATATATGTGATTACCTGAGCAGCATTATTTACAAACTCCTTTGTATGACTCTTCCCTGTTTTTATCTGCTTGTTACAAGGAATTTATATCTTAGTGGTCTTTCGAATGATGTGAAATCTTGAAAAAACACTTCTATCTGT